TGTCTACCAAGAGGCTCAACTTAGACTTTAACTGACATCTGTTTCTTCCTCTTCAACCATAAAATGAAATGCTTTCGACAGTTCTGAAGAAGGAATTCTCTTAATGATCAAATCGCAGTCCAAGGTCCTGCCTTCTAGCACCGCTATGACCTTGAAGATGGAATTGTCACAACGCCATAAATGATCAACCCGTTATCTCCATTGTCACATTAAGATCGTTTATATGAATTTATGATACGTGTAAAAAAACACCTGTAACGTAAAAATTGCTCATTTGGGTGTGCACGTCCATGAATTTAAAACAATTTATTCATCCGGTGATTATTTCGGTTGGTAAAAATGGCGCAATCTCCTAACTCTTTACACTTCACAAGTTCAATGAATACCATTTCATACATTATCATTGTAATTTATCTTTGACTTTGCATACAAGGATTAAATCGCCATTTTAACGAATGATTAATGATTCACTTTCAAAGTTAAGAATGCGCAATTCTCTTACGCTCTATAAATTTATTACGGTTTAACAAATACCAGTAGCCGTCAAATTTAATAGAGATGTAATTTTGTATAAGGAACGTGGCCCATTGTCTACAAATTACCAATTTAGATTTCGATCCGCTATTATTAAGGAATTGATGTAGTAAGATTTATAAATAATGAATGTAGTTAATATTGTTAAATAACAAAAACAATATTGCCATTCTTTTGCATATCGCGACATTTCTCGTTTTTGACAGACACAATAGCTCATGTTTTATGCAGGACGTTATGTTGCGCATTTAGAAAATAATGACTTAAAAAAATGTCAACAATGTCGCATACTGCGATTTCCGATAAAAGGCCAAGAAAACTAAAGTGGAGCTTAATCGCTGTAGGTTTAGACGCGATAACATTTTCCCAACTTTCCTTCTTATAAAATTACCAGCGACGCAGAGAAAAGTGTAACGGAGTTTACTGTAAAAATAACATCTTATACTAAATTACGTCCTAATGGAATCTATTATTTAGGGCTGTACGCACGCAAACGTCTATAAACAGGTTACCTGAGCGTTTTTCTAATAATTCAATGGAAATAACGGCCTGTTGCCTATGTTCTTTATTCGATCTCTGATGTAACGCTAAAATTACCCCCTATGGTTCTTTCACTTTAATTTCTCTAAATTAATCTTCTGCGATATGTAGGTATTCATCTTTCAACACTAAGGAATTCTTAATTAATGGACAATGGAAAACTATTAGAGAACTTAGTAGTCCGTTACTACTATAAAAATCAACTTATAAAAGTCAAAAAAACAAAAGTTACAACCCAAACTGTGGAAGTTTTGTGACTTGCGACATTTTGGATCCTTAGAAGTTGGATCCCGAGTCCCTACAAAATGAGCTGCGAAATTTAATTGCGACCAAAGACCTTCCTTTTTTGGCATTGTAATTACAATGTGGCACTTAGTAAGTGTTGACTTCTTTCGTTTAAGTTAAAAGCTTCTCTCTCGCTCCAAATTTCCCTTTACCGGTAAACCGCGTGTCAATTCGTATAAAAAATTAAGTCTTTCTTAGTATCTCTTCTATTGTGACATTATAACTATCATAGTTTCTTTTAATTAAAATAATTAATACAAAAAGTTTTTGCATAAATTGAATGAACGCCTTGTAAAAAAACGCGCGCCCTTGCATTCGATCCCGCGCGATCGCATTTTGCACGCGACCTTAGTTTTTGGTATGAAATTCTAACCTTACAATTAAAAAAAAACTATACCCTAATGGAAAATGCAGAAAAAGAGAGGCACCCAACTCAGCGCAAGACTAGCACAATTTAAAAGTGCACTTCAAGTGCACTCATATGCTTATAGATAAAGCTTCATGGCGTTTTCAATTGGTACCTACCACTAGTGTCATTTTTATATTCCGCGATCTTTAGGCAGCATTTAGACACATCGAAGGCCGATTTGCCAACCCCCTTTCTTTCGCACCTAGGTTCAGAGCCCGCTCCTGACCCGGTTTAGAGTAAGTTGCATCACCGTCCCCGGGTTCAGATAACTGTCTGTCTCTGATGAAAGCGTTACAGCGACAGACCACCTGCTTAGTAGTTTCATCTTCATCACCATAGAACCTGCCCGTGGCGCTCCTACAAGTCCCATGTTGTGCTGGTGATAGTTGACCAGTCAATGCCCGGCAAGCACACCGTTGATCTTTTTAATCTGCCCTCTATTAGACTTAGACAACCCAGACTCTCCAAGGGGCCCTGTTAAGAATACCATGGACTGTCTGAGTCTAATTGCTTGTTCCCACTGAGCCCGGAATCCACTGGTCACACAGTCTTTAATCCTGGCCCTGGCAACGAGGGAGTCATCTTTAGAGTAGGCAATCAAGTGCCGTGGTCTATCGAAACTTGTCTGTTGACAGGGCCCTCAGTGCCGCCCAACTGTCACAGGTCATCCCTGCCTGAAACACGGTGCTATACTGACCACAGTAGAAGCTGATGTTGGTCGATCACCATATATCGTGCCCCTTTCCGTTAGGGACTTGTCTGAAAACCACGAGCCCCTCAGTTGGCAAACTGAGTTCAGCCATTGCTCCCTGTCCGGGAAAGTGACTTTATAACTCTCCGATTTTTGTAAAACAGCCTGATTCGCATACCTTCTTGTGATGAGGAGATTGGATCTAAGGGTTTCCTCCCAGAACCGCCCGTGCCAAAGGCTCCCTCTGTCCTTCCACTCGTCCCAATAATTTAATCGTATGGAAGCCTTCCGAACCTCTCTGCCTGCACAGCTAAGTGGAGTGCTAACACTAGCCTCCATGGGCAACCCTCCTTACAAATGGAATCGAACGGTGTGTTGTTAAATGCATCCTCGAGATCTAGAAACGCTCCCTGGGCTACTCCCCGACCCCTCTCCAGCTTGCACACGAAACTGCGAAGAGCCACCTCCGTAGACGTACCAACCTTCTCGCAGCCCTACAAGCATGTTGGAATGGATGGTAGTGGTCTGAGGACCAGTACCAGTCCTTATGAATACATCCACCAGCTTCTCCACCGTTGTTTAGATGATGATAAGACTGGGGGGCCTGTAATTTTTCGCAATGTCATGTTTGCCCACGACCCGGCTCAGGTAGGTACACAACTCTTACCTTTCTACAGCTTTCGGGGACATACTCTAGAGCTAGGGAGGTTCTAAAGAGGTGCTACAAATGTAACAGCGGCGGTTCCAGGCTCTTCTGCATAAATCTTAATCGGAATTTTATTAACACGCGCTCCGTCGCGTTCGGGACTTTTTCTCCGACATTTTATCCCCAAGAGTTTCTACACGGGTTTGAAATATGGTCCTATTCTAATTCAGACCCACGAACAATTTACCTACGTTTTTTTCCGCGATTCACAAGAAGATTTGATATCCCCAAGTATGTCTTTTAAAACCGAGCGATTTAACTTGGGCGATTGTAAAAACTGAACGGAAAGCCCACAAACTATTGCGATCGAGATTGACTTGGGTCTCGCTCGTTTCTCTCCCTAATTTTCTGTATGTAGGTGGCCAGACTGGAAACTATTGTACTACGTACGTTTCTTAAAAATTGATTAATAAACTATCGAAACCAAAAACTTTTTGCGCTGAAAAATTCAAAGCCTGAACAATTCTTTGTTTCGTCATGGGAACCCAAAATCTGACTCTAGTCATGCAAAGCTATGATTTGTACTTTTCGAGGTCATGAGAATGTGTGCATTGGAAAACTACATCTCATCTACATCTACAAGTTAGCCGATATATTTCCAACCATATTCATACAAGTCATTCTTATTGATAGCTGTACACATTGAAGTTAAAGTGAATTAAAAGCTCTTCTAAAAGGCGTGATATTGCTCAACTTGTGTTTTAATGCATTCTTCAGGTATCACTAATTAAAACTAATTCTGCACAAAAATGCTAAAGTGTTAAATGTTAAATTTTAATACCACGTTCACCTTTCCACGCATCATATAATTATGCGATAAAATGGATTGAACGTGCTGTCATTGATAAATGTGCATGAGATGCTGCCAACCCTAATTAACCATATCATATCAAAATCCCAAAATGTCATAATTCAAATTAAAAATTTCAGCACGAGGTCGCTTAGGGGTGAATTGAATTGAAATGCATACTATTTTATTTGACCTAGCTTAAAATTTACTTTGATTTAAATTCTTTACACAGGTATCCCGTCTTAAAACTAGCTATTTAACGAACAGGCGTTCACGTGCGGACGATGTTATTAGAACGCATGTGAAACGTGCTTTTCACGGCACCTAAACAAATAAGCTTCAAAGATTTTATAGCCTTGATGAATTAATTTCCACCATTCTAGATAGTGAACGATTTAATTAGTAGTGATTTGTTATTGACAGCTAAACTGTATAGCTACTTCTAGCACGTTGGTTCATTTTTATGGGTGTCGCAAAGATATGATCCTAGAAGTTATGAAAAACGCTAATGCGCACATTTTCTTTATCAACTTCTAATTTAAATTCGAGACGCGTGCAAATTATTTTCATAGACGGTTATTAATTTTTATGCAAAGTAGATCCTTAATTACGCAATCAACACAGTCGACCCGTTGTCTGGCATGCATTCATTATACTTTTAAATCAATTTTGCTTGTACCGTTTACAATTATTATGATCCAAAACCTACAGTATGAAACCTTCATTTCAGCTTTTTTGGCAACACGTTTACCCATCCTACATTGGTTCACTACTCAACTAGCGATGTATTGATGATCTAATTTTTGAATTTGAATAAGTTCAGACGCAATTGTCATCGTTTTTATGGCGCACCTTTAATTTTGGTAATTTACGATTTGTTTATTTGGGAACTGTTAGATAATACCTAATGCATATATTGACAATTATGCTAATAGTATTAGTGATCACAAAAGTATTTAATTAAAAAAAGGAAACGAGATACGCCTTCATATTTATAGTGAATAGCTCATTTGTTAACAATTTTAAACCAATATTTTGGTTCCAGATACGGAATTTCCAAATACCGATTTCAAGCTCGCCGTTTTTCCAGTTTCAGGTAAGTGAATAATCGAAACTGTTATTTGGCCATTTAGTTTACCAGTATTTTGATGACAAGTTCCCAAAGTTCTAACTTGCACACGCGACACTATTCCACTTACCTTTGGAGTGGTAACCTTAGATATTTCCTTTTTAAGTGGGCCACATCAACGTATTTGAGAATTTAACTTAAAATCACATTCAGTGTTAGCTTTTCACAGAGGAAGAATTTTTTATGGTGAATTTGTACAATAGGTGAACTGTCTGGCACCAACTGCCAATTTATAACAGTGGGTGCACTGACAATTTACATCACAGAATTCCAAAGCTTCAATAGGTAATAATTATCTATACATCGGCACAAATGTGCCAAACTCATAATTTAAGTAATAATTCCTTGAGTAGAAAGTGATAGAGAAGTGTTGATTTTTGAGTATAATTATTACACGGATAGATACAATCTACACGTTTGCATTACTGTGATAATTTTTTATATAAGGAGGTAGCGGTCAGATTAGAAATAAAAATGAGGAAATAAGTTAACGAAGTGTGGCAGGATTCATTGGAATGAAAGCGAAAGTGGTAACGTAAACTTAATGAGGTAAAACAGAGCAAAACGAAATAAATGTAAGCAACAAGAGTAAGACCAATACTATTTTTAGTTTGATAATGAAATTCTGACACAATTGCATAGTTTCTCAATTTATATCATTTAAGTGTTTGGTAAGACTGTGTCCTAAATAAAAAGAATTAAAAATTGAAGTCAATCCACATATTATACAATTTAGTCTTCTTGTCAGTATCAGCGTTCCCATTTCTTCTATTCTGTAGTAAAATGTATTTGTGCAAATAGTAGCAAGCCATTTCGGTTGAAATTACCCCTCATAATGTAAAAATTTGTTCCAAATTCAAATGTGCACTAGTTTGTCTATGGGCATTCCGAAAATATCCATTCACTCTACAGTTAGTTGTCCCTTGCCTACTACTTCACCTTCAGGATAAAATTCGATCTTTGTTCCAGTCTTATCTTTCTCGATTTTTTGGTTTCACTCAGCAGCATAACATGAATATTTTTCAGTAGTTTGCAGCGTCCCCTTTGCTTGATTGGTTTGCGAATGATCTTCTAAATATCTTTTGTCAGTTTTCGGTTCTACCCGGCCTGATGTAGCATTGCTCACTTATGTTGAGTTGCTGTATAGTAATTATATATTTTTAATATTATTTAATATTTGAAACTTGCTACTATATCCCGTAAATATTGCCTACCCATTGTTTCGTTTCTCTACTACATCATTGATGTGTTTGTCCTTTTTTTGGAAGGTTTATTAAAATCTGTCTCCCGCTTAACTCCGTAGCGAAGGGTCTGTGTGGAACTCCATTCCATCCAGGCCCACCAAAAACCCTGTCCTCTTGGCAAGTGATTATACAAGACGGGTACCGTCCGAGGTCATATCGTCTTGTGCGATTAGGCGATGAATCTAGTTGAAAGCCAATGTGTATTATATTGCCTGTCTTATCTGCTCTCGCCTCTTATTTACCCTTACCTTTCATCTCTCTCGTTCGGTAAATCATGACACATAGTTGTGATATCACCTTATTACCTTCCATCCTCGTTCACTACCACTCGTTGTTGTAATGGGGATTTACGATCATTCAACCGTTTTAGCCGGATTGGTAGAAATCACCATAGAAAAAATTGTGGCAATAATTGTAACCATAGCAAAATCTACCAACCCGGTTTAACCGGTTGAATTATCGTAAATCCCCAATATTATCCGGGGTTAACTCCTCGTCACCACATTGAGTCACCACTCTAATCCGATTCTGCCCATATAGCGCATTCGAAGACTAAGCGCTCATTGCCGTCAAAGTTCCCACAATCAGAATTCATCCCCGTCCCCTCTCGTTCCAATCCATTGTACATACCAGCCAAGTTTTCGGTCTCCGCAGAGGAATTTGGTGAGATAATAACTCATATTCCCATGCTGGCCATTAATCCAATGTTCTATATTGCGGATCAGCCGCTTCATCCACGAATGTCTCTTGTCCCATCCCTGCCGCAACAACCCCATCGCTTCCATATTACCCCCACCAAACTCCTTCACTTTGATGGTCACATGTAGTGGCACTAACCCGGCGATCACGAAAACATCTTCGTCCGCTTCTATACGCTATTATAATAGTAGGAGAGTTGGCGCTGTGCTACCTCAAACCCACAGCATAGCGGTCAACTAACTAAGGGTTGGAAAATAAAATAAAAGCTTGAGATTTACCTATCTTAACTCTCCCCGTATGAAATTGAGAAGACACAAAGGTAGTAATAACCGTAAAATCAATCCATTAGGTACCAAAAGAATACTGGTTTATCCTCAATATCAATTGCAAAAGAAAATTGTCTCCACAATTGGACAGCGGATCCCCCAAATACAAAATATTCCTCAATTAAACGTAGCAGCAGTCGGCGAAACGAAACAAACGGGCGGACGGACGGACGTACTCGACCGTCACTAAGCGAACACCCTCGTGCTTGGTCGAGGTCGGGGGTAACAACGGTCTGGCGGCTCGGTCTCAACCGGAACGGCAGCTCCAGAAATCGGACAGGTCGAGAAAATAGCGGCAGTCACTTCGGAAAACTAAAACAAAATTACGGAAAACACCCTAGCAGGAATGAAAGCAACAAAATACAAATCGGCGGAAGCAGCAGAAAAGCAATATTGGGGCAAAGTGAACAATACTCATCTCTTATAATTAGTGACACGGAAAGTAACAAAACTCTTACCTTTAAATTAACGGAGCGGTAGCAACAGTTCGCTAGAAGCCAATTGCAATAAATACGGCGCTGTAACTAGACCGCAAATTGAAACGGTACGGATGCACAGAAATGTAACTGGCGAAAATGCAGAAGGCAAATTTAAATATGGTTAAAACCCCCAAAAAGCAAAAGCTGATGATTTTAAATACGGTACTGTTGCAAAAATAATCTTTACGGCAAAGCTCAAAATTTGGGTACTTACAAAACGTAGCTGCGAAGATGGAAAAGGCAAAAGAAGTGTTCAGCAAAGCTGTCGACCTCCACAAATATACGGTGTGGTCATAACTTCCGGTATGAAACTTCAAGACGGAAAACAAGTGCTTCGTTACAATAGATCTCTTTAAATTACCCCACACCAACTTAGAGAATGGATTCCATAAAGCTTCTTATGTCGAGACATTCTAAGAAAGAAATTTTAGCGTTAACTCTGTAATAAACGTTAAAAATAAAAACGCACTCTCTTCTTGCTATCAGGAATAACAAATCTAAACAAAAAATGAAACAAGGAAATCAATAACTGCCAATTTGCTGACTTGTTTTGGGTTTTATAAATAAGTCATGATACTGCAATATTAACTTATTCAGAGTCTAATCTTACTAACTTTGATGAAATTTTTCCCCGCCTGGTCCATAAAGTTTAACTTTGTCTTACACTGCTCCTACTTTTTCATTCGAATTCCTACTCAGGTTTACCCAAAGTTCCTTTTGTGAGTGCCAACGTTATTTTCCTTATTTCAATTGCAAATTCCTTCATTTTGTTATACATTTCGCTACAAAATGCTTCTTTGGTAACAGAAACTCATTTTCACCAATTAACTATTTAAGAGGGACGGGACATGGAAAATCTAACAAATACAAATTACCAAAAGTTAACAAATCACTTTTCAAAAATTCTTTTCCCTATGTTCATCTGAAAACGGCTCACTTACTGCTCGAAGATATTATAATGTAAAGTTTAAAAATAAACTGCTTTCAAATTGGTTGATGTCAAGTTCAGATTATTGCAAGGTTTAATCTCCTTAATCTTTAATTAATTTTTTTATATACATGCGTAGTTCATTCAACTGATTGAAATATGAAACACTCTTGCTTGATAATTTACTTTTACAACAGTCAATACCGTTTTATTAAATGGTAACTATGGACTATGGATTTTGTTTCAGTTGTCATAATTCTTACAGAAATTCCTTAAAACCATCAAAGGTTTATATTGAATATTATTGTATAGTTGCTACCACTAACTCATATTTTATTTTGGAAAATTATAAATTGTAGCTTTTATTTATTTATTTATTATCCCTCTCTTGTTCTGGGCTCTCAACAGGCTTGCGCCCCATTACAGAGTGACCCGCATAATGAGTTTTAGGGGTGCCTCTGCAGAAGGTCCTAAGTTGTTTTATACTACTCCGGTATTTAGCTTACGAATTACAAAAACTGCAGAAAAACCTAATTCGGAGTAGCTGGCAGAATGCTCGAAACTGATCTAAGGTAATTCCCATCTCTACCACAGATGCAAAATTAGCCTCAACCTAGGTTCGAACACCCGACCTCCGGATTTATAGCCCAACGCTCTACCATTTAACCACAAAGTTGGCCAGCTCTTATTAAGTTGACTCGCTCGCACTTTAAGTTAAGATCAAGTTACTACAGAGCTGGGCACTATTTGTGTGACGCAAGAATTTAAACACTTTTAAAAGTATTCGAATAGTTTGCACGTTTCTAAACTGCTAAAATGTGTCAGAAAAAAATTACGGGAGATCAATTTGATGTAGCATTTTCCCAGCATGTTTTATAAACTTAAAAGCTCCAAGCTTTTAGTAACTGCTTTAGATTGTTAAAAATGAGGAACCATTTGCGAAGTAAAGAAGTAATTCAACCGAATGAATTTATGGACAATAGTCCAATATTGGTGGGGACGGAGGAACCAAACCTTACATTTTATAACGAACATTTCCCATATTTACATTCATGATTTCAAGCCCTGAACTATGACTTCATGTTTCTACACACCTGTTCCACGCTGGTGGGCCAAATCATTAGTTCAACCCGTGTTTGGATCGACGCCTTCTGAATTTGGAGAATTGATGGCCTTTACACTAATCTCAACTATAAAGTCGGCCGTAAATAACTTTGGACGTAAAACGTGTTACATGCGAGATTAGGTACATTTATTGATGAAGGTAACGATCTACGTGAAATTCCAATACCTACACTCATTGATTGTGGGAGTGGATACCTAATTCGAAGACGCTTCAATAACAACCATTTCTAGAATACGGTAAAATGTTTCAGTCCAACACCGATCCCTGACTGAAGTTAGTGTTCTTTTGCGATTGAGGAAAGTGTCTCATAGTTAAATAATGACATATCAGATCGCATTTATTTATAGATGCCGGTGAATGCAAATAACCTGCATGGCGTTGAGCAATCAAATATGCCTTTTGCATCAAAGATATCAAGCGCCTACTAATTACAAAGATTACAATAACGCAATGTTCTATAAGACGCCAGTTCGAAATAGCATTTATGAGGGAGCATCTGCTTGCTTTCAAATCGGGTATGCGAACTCGGAACGAAGACGAGAAAAGGAGAAGTTGATTTATTGTTGTTGGTAGGTCCCGAAAAAAGAACAATATACGGCTTTTAAAAATTCCTTAAGCAACTTGCCAATTTGTTCCGGTTTATTAAGAAAAAAAGATAAGATGTAACAAAAAATTGTCAGTTATAAATATGCATGTTGAACTTAAAAAATGGTAGGAAAATAGAATACATCAATCATGCGACGCCAACACGTCGTTGCGGGGGATTTAAACCACTCACAAAATAGAAGTTATTCCATAAAAAATTATAAATGTAAATTCTCCTCACTTGATACACTTCAAGATTTTATAATAAATCATGCGCCGTTGAGACCGACCTTTTGATTAGGTGAGAATGACTTAATAAAAAAATCGATATGCATGCTAATTCTCTTGGGAATTGTATTTCACGCTTGATATTCAGGGACGCTATATACTCTTGCAAACAATCTATTATCTTAATTTGGTAGCAAATTGGTGTAATTTTCAATCAGCAAGCACTAACTTTAAGGCAAACAACCTTAATTTATGGGGTCTACATGAAGAATCTCTATAACATCATTTAGAGATGACGCAGTAATTGAATTGTTCTCTGGTAATTACCGAGGCTATTAGACATCCCTGCAAACTTAATTTGGGAATTTTATACTAACTATACGATAATCTGAGAAGGGTTTAGGTTGCGATTACGTACCCAAATCGAATATTTATAACGTTTTAACTATACTTTTCGTATCGCTATTGTAATAAGGGAAATTTGCATTTCGCTCTGTGAATAAACGCATGCAAATTGTACGGGATACATTATCAATGCAAATCGGTAAGCGTTACAATTAACACTGTTAGAACTAAATAATTACGTTATAGGATAAAGTTCAGAGGGCTACTATAATTAATCGAAGAGACGAGGTAGACCATCTGTTGCTAATCAAGATAATACAGATCCTAGTTGGTTATGAATGTTTAATATGTGGTATCCTTAGAAACGATGTCGTTCGTAATCCTTTGTTAGTGTTAACGATCTTATATCGGCTCGGTCTTAGGTTATATCCAATATTCATTTGATAGGTATGGGGATTATTCGATGTGTTCTGCGCAATATCATTTTTAAAGCTTAAACGTTCCTATAGCAAATTTCTAACCCCCGTTTCGACCCTTCAGTTGACGTGAAACAGCGAGCTTTTACGTATATTAATATCGGCATGTGTCATTAAATCAAACTAGTTACAGCTCCCGCTGGAAGCAGATTGGTACTGAGGATTACCTATTTGCTGAAGCCGTGCAAATTTACTGTGCCATCCCTAATTTGCTCAGAGCGGGATAAATTTCACTATGGCATAATTAATACAATTTTGAAAACACATAACCTGTGTAAACAGTTCATATTAAAACAAGTATAAATTGTGCACAACTCTTGTGCAGATTTTAACCGAAATAGCTTTTGCTTTGACATCACCAATGGATATATTTCTTACAGAAGTCTCAATCGCCCTTTGTTATTAGCTTATTACCAACAATCCGTTCTTGAGGTATAAGGGAATATACCCGATCACTATAAGAGGTCGAGGAGGAGTAGGGCTATGGTTGGCAGAGATTAATTCCTTTCGTTGAGACCTTTCATTAGAGTAACATGAAGGATGAAACTAGTTCCACTCCCCCCCGTCCCCCTCCCCCTGCACCCCGTACTTTGATAAGAGGACAGAAAGAAGGGCAGTAGTTGGTAGAAAACGGTTCCTTTCATTGAGACCTTGACCCCCCTCTCCTCCCTCAGTCCCCGTCGCTCACTGATCTCGTGTAATTTGAAACAATCGCCATTCTGGTGAACCCGACATTAGCGCTCACGAACTTGAATTTTTTATATCGAACTTCTACGCCCGTTCAAAGAGAATAATAGAGGGGCGAACCGTCCACTTTTAACAACTCGATGGCAAAAACTTTTTTGACTCTAATCGCGCTCCTAGGAAGTGAATCTTTTATGGGTCCGTACCTTTACCAGCTTCACTAAACGCGAATCAATTAATTTACTGCAAAGTAATCGGCCCCTCTCTGAAATACTTTTTTAACGTCCACCCATGGCGAAATGGTTTTTTAACATGGCAATGCTCAAATTCTATTGGATATTCATTTTCTTTCTACCATTACTAAACGGCTTTTGGAGTTGTGGGTGAATCTCAATTTTGACGAACTAGCATTTTCTCATCGCGTGATTTTCACTCAGCTGAGTTGCAAAAGTAACCATAGAAGGCTAATTCACAGAGTGTAATTTAAAACCAGATCCAGACAATGAAGCAACATCTAATGATTTGGAAGATTTTGCCTATTTGTGGGAAGAAGACGAACTTTCACTTTTATTCCAATTGTTTGTTCGTTCCAATATTTGTTTGGGGGAATGTTTTCAGAATATTGACTCTTTTACAACTTAAACCTTTCTACTTCCGCGCAATTCAGTGGGAAAGAATCACCAAATAAAATGCTCTCCTTACAATTGAGTTGAGTTTGATTGGACAACAAGTCCAACGCATTAACTTGATTTATAATTATACAGGTTAATAGGTTATATAGGTTATTTACAACATAACGTATTTATAGACAATCAGACCTGTGATGAATCACTAAAGTTAAGCTTAAGGTGCAGGTTATCTGCAGAAAACGTTATTTTACCCGTACTAAATAACGCAAAATAACGTTTTTTGACAGATAACCTGCACGTTAAGTTTCTGTTACATCCCAGGGCTCAATATTTAATTAAAATTGTAAATAGAACCCTTTAAACTCGATTATTTAATGGGTGGTGGCGTTTTTAAAATGCCATATCACTCCATTCGGCATAGGTTGAACGTTGAACTGAGTGAATAATGAATTTAAAACAACTCTATTCCGTTCGAAAATTGAAATTATTAATTACCTTATACTTACATCTTGATTACAGTGCCCTTCCGATACAGGAATAAATTATGAAACGTTTATAAAATTTAAAATTGTTTCGTTCGCAGGAAGGATTATTGACAACTTAGCGAGAGATATAAAATTTTGAACCGAAGACTAATCGCACAAGCACGGATAATATCATTTCTTTTGATACATTTTATCCTTTCAGAAAGTAGCTGATTTTAGTTCCATTTTCAATGGACTTTTTCAAGGTATTCATTGATACGGAATTGAATTTCATTTCTGAAGTTGATTTGATACTATACTTATTTTTTATTCATTGTAGAATGCGATTAACGTCGCTGAATTCAAACAAATTTTCTACATTGAAGCCCTTTTTCATGAAGTTTCTTGTTTTATAAACATCGATTTATTTGGTTCCAGACAAGTTTTGAGTCGAATTTAATATGAAGTAATATGCTGGTGACACAGTTCGCGTGTGAGAATGGGGTCTTGTGAATATATAACTATTCAATTAGTTGTATAATAGAGAAACGTTAATTAGCATCCAAAATGGAGAGCGCACAATGGCTTTTGAACCTCAGCAATTATGCCTTAAGAAGATGTTGCAACTTAATTATGAATATTCGTGTTTGTAGCTTTCGACCTTCATATTTTATTCATACTTCTTTTGCTACTTTATTTTAATAAAATGGCAGGACTGCAGAATACAAGTTTGGGTATCTTTTTTTGGGAAAAAAAACTTTACTTTACTTTAGTTTTTATTTGCTTGTGCTGCTGAAACTCTTGTATTATACAATACCTAAAACATTTGTACAGCAGTAGATGGACGGTGACTTCCGTATGAACATTTGAATAAAACATCCTAAGTATAGACAATAACATACAACAACCTATTAGAATAGGAATAGGAAAAGTATTTCACATACTGTACCTGGAGTAGAGCGTACGACACCGAATGCAAGCGTGCCTCAAGACATAAATGCTCACCTCTTTTCAAAAGATTTCAGGCCTTATTTAACAAAACGCCAGCATTTTAAAACAAACCGCAAGCAAAGAAAAACAAAGCGCTGTAATTTTTGGATATCCATTAACGAATGGAAAATTTTCGATTTATTATGAACTTATGTTCTTGCACTGTTTACAGTCAATTACAGAAATTGTACCAATACGCACACTTACTCAGAGATTCGCATTTTGAAAAAAATTAAGGCCCCGTTTCATACCTGGGAGGGTTTGATAAGGTTCTTTTCGTCTTCTTGAACGTAGTAGGCTCGATGACGTTTTTTGAAAGTTCGTTGGGTTTTACAGGCTTTGTAAACTTGGCGGACTCCGTGGTGTTACTAATTAAAAAAAGCAAAATTTGGTGACAAATGGTGAAATAGATAGTCGCTTATCAGTGTTTTAAACGGACAAGAAATAAAATGCTTTAGGGTGTTCTACATGTCGATTTATACGTCTGTAGCATAACAGTGAGAGAAATTAGGGTGGAATTAAAAACTCAAAACCTTCCCCATGCGTCTATCTATCTCTATTTTGAGTTTTTAATTCCATCCTAATTTCTTCGATGTCCACCCCATTTTGAGTTCAAGAAAACATGGATACCCTTAATAACAGTGGGAAGCGGAACTGATGGTACACCTACCGCATTACTACTTTTTACGACAGAAGTTTTAAAAAGCAGGATTAGAACGTTACCAGAAAATAAATGAAATAATATGAGGTTACCTGGGTTCGATTTTTTGAAATCAGTATCGGTATGGAATGTTCTATAGGAGAGCGGTATCTACAGGAAAGCAAATGCAGGAAATCGAAACAATATCTCCCCCTGATAATCAGTGAAACGGAAAGTAACTAAAAGCTTACTTTGCAATGATACGAAGCAGTATACATGTGCAAGAAAAAGAAATAGATGAAAAACTAAAAATTAAACAGCATGAATGCAAAATAAATTTATGAGGAAGCTCAACATTACGGTACTTACAAAGCTTAGCTTGCGAAAGTGCAAAATGCAGCAAGATCCCCTTTACAACAACTGGTTTACCTTTTATAAAATTCGGCTGCACCATCATGGAGGGATCGACGGTTTTTCCAGTCGACACAGCGTATTCAGATAAGAGCCTCCAAACTTCTTTAGTAATTTCTGCGGCCTGCTCTGTAATTGGTCTGAAAATTCAAATTAATTAAGAGCCATTCTTTTGATACCCCACACGACTGTGTGGAATGACGTTTACAGCAACACATTTATTTAGCTACTGTTAATTTCACTTACTTCATTGGCCGGATTGAAATTTCTAAAATTGATAACCCTATTAACACCCATTTGTTCATTGGCATTTCTCTGGCATAGAGGTCTCTTATCAACCTGATAACGGCATAAACCTGCACGGCCTTGTAATTTTAATGCTCGTTTTAAATTAACATATGAAACAAAACCCTGCCACTAGTGGATTAACGTGGCTGAAGTTCTAAAACATTAATTTGCCCTCGTCTTCTAAATAACAAGAGCTTTCGGACGCATCAAAAATATATTGACGGAAACGGTTGCATACGGCGAATTAATTGCAACGTTATTTACGGTAGCGGCGACTGAAACACAACTCTAGAAATTAAATAAATTACCTTTGGTTTATATATCCAACTCCTTGAAGCAACACGAACACTTCCGTCACGACACTTTTCGTCAAGGAGCGCCCAACGTTAAACGCTTCTAGATACCGGATGTTCGGCAGAGCAGGTCGACTCCATAAAAATACGGTGTGGTCCTAACTTCGGGTATGAAGAAACTTCAAGGCGGAAAACGGTAGCCTGTGGCAATGGGCAAATTAAAAGAACCGTTAACTTTCGCGACACTTTTAAGTTAGGGAATTGGCGTGCTGTTTAACATACTTAAGAACCACGATGCTAAAAGATTTGAAGTAGAAACGCAGCATCGGTGTCTATTATTTCTTATAGAGAAGAGACGATTTCTTAAAAAATTTCATGATCCTAGAACCAAAAGATATGAAATCTGTATGCGCAGTAAAATGATTCACCCATGATCCTGCATAAGCATACCGAGTCTACAGAATGCACCGAACTCTCTCAGTCAGCTTATCTTACCTCATGTTCGTCCTATTAGAGGCTGGATCCGAATCAATAGACTGACTGAGCAGCCAAAATCAATTGGTTTTGCGATAAACATTGCCATGTGCGAGATAAGAAATGCAGGTGGTTATCGTTTCGGGCGACGATGCAGAATTACGAGTGTTTTTGATTTTCTTTTTATGAATAAATTCTTATAATTTTTTTATCAATTAATTATGTGTCAATTTGAATCTCAATTCAAAATTCCAGGTACAATTTTATTTTTTGTGCCAAATTTTTTAAATTTCTGTTTATCCAAATGAAGAAACGTTAAATTCAAGTCGGGTGTTATACAATATACTTGTCACGTTATCGCTTCTATACGTTAATGTATAATATTTAGTTAAGCAACCAGTAAATAGCTATTGTTTAATAGTTTAAAAGAGCCCAAACGTTTGAGCTGTGGAAGTGTGGAGTTGGTTTGAATTAATTAAATCCAGTTCATTGCAATAGAAGCCATTTCAACTAATTCATTAGTCATTTTTTGAGGAAGTCCAAAATTATCATTAACATTATACTTGAATGGTGGCTCGTTCAGTCAAGGTGCCACTTGGATTCAGAAGACAGTACTGAAGTAATGAATTGATTCATGAAATAACAGAACGATTAGTTTACACTGATGTTTTTGATAAAATAATTAACCTTATCCAAGGGTGCATCCAAAAAACTTTATTGTAAGTACAGATGCTCTGTCGAGTCTTTCACGAAAGGGTGGAAATACCTGTTCCCAAACTTAGCAGCTCCATTGAGTTGATCGCAACCTATGAGACAAAATGATTAACAGTGCCAGTTGTGTGTGAATATCAAATTGATAAGATAGAATCTATAAAAATATGTGGCTCGGGCATAAACCCTGGGGTATCAAAAACGTTGATGAAAAAATGTAGAGTTCCCACAAAAATCAAAACCGCACGAAAATGGATTTGGAGAGAAGACCACGCGAACAAAGAGTGTTTATTTACCGATAAAAATTAATTAATGGGGGAAATCAAACATTTCATATTAAATTAGAACGGATTTGATATTTTTCGGCGAGACGCGAACGTTTTAAAATTGAAATTAAATTAAAAGCGGAATAAATTGATTTGGAAAACCGACCATTCAAACGGCGCAACGGCTGTCGTGCATTTGAACAAATCGGGTGTGAAAAGCAACAGGCACAGATCAATGTATAATACACAAAGAATATGTAGTAATAATACTGTAGTACAAATTTTCACATAATGCCCTTGCAGATATATAAATTTTCGGCTAAAAACGTTTCGAAAATTAGATTTAGATTTATTTTGCATACACAAATCTGGTAATCGATAACAAATCTACAAATTAGCACGCGATAATCATTCAAACGTTATTTCGAGTTAATGAATATTCGAAATTAAATAAACGTTAAAATGAAAGCGGATTAGATGAGTTGTTTTCTAGAAGCCATCTGGTAAATGAAAATAGCTAGTAAAACGCTCGCTTATTACATTACGGGGGGTTATATTTGTTTTTGTGAAGTCACGCTCTTCTAAAATGTCTGCTGGTGACAGCAGTAACATAACTCCCCAGTATTTTCATGCAGATCACATAAAACAATCACACTGTTTGCATCATGACGATGTATACCGAAATCATTTATGTCAGTGACATTTCCGAAGCTTTGGCCTCCCTAAATGCAATTTACTTCTTTCCGAAAGACTGCACCGCTCTCCAATCTGATTACATTAGTGCAAAAGACGGACTCTTGCCTGCATCCACTTCCCCCGGTAATGTGATTTGCTAATCCTAATCAGAACCCCATCATCAAGTTTGAAAGCTTTAACCTTACTATTGGATTTCTGACCCTAGAGCTCGCAGAGAGAGGGTTTTGGGAAACGTTAAAAGTGAGTCAGATGTAAAGTCCGATTAAAATCGCGTATATAGGAAAAATTCGAAATTACATTTAACCACCCTTAAATATTAATATTTGCGAAATTTAATTAAGACCAATGTGGGTTAGTAATGCAAAAAACACATAAATGGGTTGGCTTTTTATTATGCTCCCTACGGTATCCTAATATGTAATGTATTTTAACAGTTTAATTTCGAAACTTGTTATCTTTGAGAATAAAAACAGCCTATTTCGAGCAAAAAAGTACTTGTAAAAGGATTCCCGTCGTAATTACTACGCTCGTGTTGATAAATATGTGCTCGAGGCAGGGGAGTTTTAAAATATTGACCTTATATTCCATTTAATTATATTGTTCGAGGCAAATATGACCAATTTTCATATTCTAAATGCGTTTCATTTACCATTTATCTGCCGTCGCTACTTTTTCTAGCGCTAATTTGGGATTACCGCTAATAAAGATAAATGCGCGTATTTCGTTGAAAGATTTTATAGCGCAATTGTTAAATAAACTCATTTCGTGCCTTGTTTTAAATTTTGTTATTTACACTTTTAAAGTAGACCACCATTTCGTGTTTTTAATTCGCATTCAGAGGAAAACATGGCCTTAATGAGGAGCAGTAAGCATTTTGTATTATTTTGTACCTACTTCACTTCATGATGGAGTACATTTTTAAACAAAACAATTCATTGGAATACACAATATTTACTTTATTATCAGAACACGTTAGGGTGGATAGCAACATTTTACAAACACCTGACCAGATAAAGCTTTCAACGTTACGTTTAAATGTTCTCTTATTTCTGCGTTTTAAATTTATAATACAAACTATTTTCCATTTTCATATACATATGCTGACTGAAATTACGTATCTTTACGCTACAAGATCACTCGCTCTCATCTTCAGCATTGCTTCAACCTAGAAAAATAACACTCCATATAGTTTATGCAACAATTACTATTGTTGGTCTGAATTTAAAAAAAAAAACATGGCCAGGTAATTGTTAATTGGTAATTGTTTTTGGTAAGAGTGCGGTTATTTGGAAACGGTAAATTTTAGTAGCCACACCAGTAATTATTATTATTGCCGAAGTGTTTATTGTTTTATTAGTTATTTCAAAAATCAGTATGTAACTGTCATATTTTAAAATCCAGTGCAAAATATTATGCTATTAAATTGTTTACTGTTTTTAAAAAATAGCAAAATACAATGAATGAAGATGCAAAATAACGTTCCTATCCTAGTTTTCGAAATGTATGATGAAACGTTTTTGTGAAAAAATCGTAAATACAAATTACTCATATAGCTACTGAAATCCATTATCTCAGCTTAAACCGGTAGTCAAAAATTTCCTTTTTTTTGTAAAAATTAAGCACTGCAATGAGGGTTGTAGCCAAGGTTGTAGCTTTTGTAAGTATGAGGGTCCTTTAAGTAAGTTTTTCTGAAAAATATATCCTCTTTTTGAATTACAGACACGCATTTCATCCTATCTTCCCAATTCCTGATTTAGTTCTGATAACATTTCTGGATTTTCTGATTTTTGTTCAAGATTTTCTAATTTCTCTGAATATGCATGTTTGTGTAGATTTTATAATCGATTTTTTGTCACGTGGCATGGTTTTTTAAAATATTTTTTATCAAAGATAATTTTTATTTGGACTAACGGCAGCAATTTTTGTTGCGATAATCACCACCTAACTCAAGACAGCATAAAAAATAAAATTAAAAAATAAAGGTAAATTCGGAAAAAAAGTTCTCGCATTTATTTTTCTCTGCAAACTAATGAATAGAGGGTCGGTTAAATGTAGTCTTAAAAAAAATACAATAAATCATGGGCGTCCAAAAACTTGGTATTATCATAGACCAAATTGGTCTATGGTATATTATTAATGACCGGAATGTGGATATATTTTTAAAATTGCTTTATGTATCGCATATGATTGTAGAATTTTTTTTTCTTTAAAAGCAACGAAAAAATGCGTTGGGCTACTCCGCACCTGTACTGATATGTCAGTTTAATAATGTTTTTTTTATTTTATCTGCCTCAGAATCGCTGTTTAAAACACGCCTCAGCGTGCTATAAAACGAGATTAAAACACGCCGAACTTTAAAGGTTGCTAATTAACGTTACTTCAAATATGGCATATGAAACTATAATCTGGGATTGAAATAAAAAATCCTGTCTGATCGATTTCTGCAAATGCAAAAGATATCTTTGGCTCGTATCCTTTGTTGGAAGTTTCACAAACGCACGGGGTTTAGAGTAGGTACTCTATCAGACCTGTTCCACATTTCCTTCTAGCATTAACGATGCATTTAAGACTTTCTTTGAAAGATGCTTACTATTCACCCACACCAACAACCTTTCATATTCTTTATAAAAGGCTTTTGCAGGTAGCACCTTTTTCTGCTTCTGCAACAAACCACTGAATAATTTTCAACCGAAGTCATTTTATTTACAAAGATGGTGAATTATAAATGTTTTTGCAGTCGTCGAGTTGATACGTATGGGGGTGTTGTGGAGTGTAAAATTAATCGTGCCGAGGGGTTTTCGCGGTCGTAGGGTTCAGATCTGCCCTCGAAATGCCCCGGGAATACAATCTTTGCTCTAGTTAATCTAACCAACCAATTAAATATATATTGTATAGATTTTCTTCATTTAATTCTCTAGTACGCAGCCTTAGACAATTCAACCTCAACGATTTTTAATTTTTTACAAGAATGGAAAAAATACGACTCCGCCTGTTGGCAAGGATACACCTGGCAATGTGTCAACAACGATTGTCAGCATATTGGGTGG